GTGTGTGTGTGTGTGTGTGTGTGTGTGTGTGTGTGTGTGTGTGTGTGAGGACAGACTAGGAGTCTGGCTTCAAATAAACTTAAAAGCACTTCACACAGGTGCCTCAATCTTTACATTACGCTACCATCAACGATGGCTACCGACCGCAGCATCAAACGCTTCATATCTGCCTCAGAACTCGGATCTCAAAGAGACGCTGGTGGTCAAGTCAACTCTCTGTGTGACTGCATCGCCATGGGAACAGTTTATGGCATGAAAAACAAGGGAACCATACCACTGTAATGAGTCATTTGTGTGCGTCTGTGTGTTGTATATATGTAGCTAGTAATCACTAGCCAGGCTGCCCAATGCTCAGGGAAAGCCCTGAGCTTTCCCCCCCCCCTCTCCACACGCCCGCCTGGCTAACAGGAGGCCATGTGTGGGTGGGAGACAAAGGTAACAAAGAGTGTGTGTGTGTCTGTGTGTTCCTGATTTCTGAGGAAATCCACAGGGAACTGCTACAACCTTTGAACGAGCAAGGTAGGACACTGACCTGTCCCTCCACAAACACACGAGACACACACACACACACACACACACACACTCACACACACACTCAGAAGTAGAAGCGTTTCTCTTCATTCACATGATGGGCCTTTCCCAACGCATACAGACACACAGACAGAGCTTTCATGCAACACTCGCAAACGCAAGCACAATTTCTCCCACTTTGAGATTGCGGTTTGGCAGCCGGCTATCACATTACAAATCCCAGGCCGGAGGGGTAACCATGGCAACTCCTTCCAAAATACCCCTGCCGCCCATGGAGGGAAGAAAGGGTCGTTTGCGTTCCTCCGCTCTCCTCCGCCCGCTGCTGTCTCTGTGCTGCCAGTGGAGTGGAACTCCTGACGCAGACAGGGATACCTTCTCTGACGCACCTCTGGAGCACCGGGGGCCCCGAGCTGCCTTCTTCTCCGTCCCCCCACAGTTCACTGCTTTCCTTTTCCCCCTCACTTTTAATGACACAACTGTAATAAACAGCGTTGATGGGTCCTCCGAACCATAGACTACGCTAAGCTAGGTGCCTCTCTCTCGTCCTCCCTCCTCCAGAGGTAGAGGGGGCTCCTCGTGGCCCTTCAGGCGCTGCACAGAAGGAGCTGTTGTGCCTGCTCTTCTCAGCACGTCCTTCAACGCCTCTCCAACATCAAGCCACCTATATGTCCTCTACTTCTGTTCTCCCATGAACTTACAAAAATCTTACGACTAGAAGGGACCCTAAAATCAGTCCATACAAACGTAAGCAGTTTCCTCGCCCAATAAAAAGTAGAGAGGAATATTAAGTCAATGATATAATACTGTTGGCTCTGTGATCATCCTTGACAAGGGGGCAGGAGGGGAGGGGGCACTTAGAGCCCTGAAGCTGCAAGTTTGTAAGTGAATGGTACGTGTTTGTGTGGAGGGAGCGTGGAGTGTCCTGGGACAGCTGGAGGCTGGAATGCTGCTGCAGCAGATTGTCCGATAAGCAGCTGTGTGTGTTCGGGGGAAAGGAGAGTCAGGCACGCTAACAACTACCGCAGCTAGCCGCTGGAGAACACTCCCGCTGCTGCACGTCAATGGGAAGACCGAGGCAATTGCAATTGTATTGAGATAATAAGTGTCACTGAGCATTCGGATGGATAGTGATCGGGGATTATGCTGCTGGAGTAGTTTGAGATGTTTGACTCGATGCTTCTATTTTCTACTGTGAAATGTTTTCATCGCTGGAATCGGCTGTAAAATGAATGGAAGTTGACCACAGCTACTTATAACTTCTGACAGACAACGTTCAAGGCTACAAATAATTTGATACTTCAAAGACACATTTTAAATAAAGACGGGACTGTACGCATTGACAAAACACTTCTTTAACAGTATATTTTCAATATTGGGCTGTGGTGAGTCATCTAGTATAACTCTGTATAAAATAGTTTGATATCGATGTCGGATAATAATTTGTTATTGCAGGAAATTGCTTGAAAGTTACCTTTCTTTTCATTAAATTATCAAATCAATAATATTCATTTACATCACAGTGTTTGCTGAGGCAGAGTTTAGTACACGGTGGAAGTTAAGAGCTCAGCACACGGAGACTGTGTTTTTGAGTGTGTGTGCGCGTGTGTTTGTGCGTACACCCCTCGCTCGATTTACTCACAACAGCTGCAGTACAACTTTAGGATTTTAATTTGGATGAAATATTTGCGGCTTGGCATTGCATACCATGAATCAAGTGTTTTCACCACCGCCTTAACACCCTCTCTCAGCAGTTTGGACGGGCTCCACGTCCCTACATAGATGTACAGTTATGATGTGTGTAATGTTCTTCCAACCCCTAGCTTTCCTAGTCATGAGGTCAGTGACTCATGCAATAATGCCTGCGTGTATTGTTGTTGTTATTCTCCAGTCGCCTTAATGTGATGCAACAAATAGAATACATTCTATACCGGGAAAGCAAGATAAAGCCAAACCCATGTGATAGCGCAGACCTCTCCAGTTAATGAGTTATCACTTCAGGCCTGAAGAACCAAAACATTTGCTGCATACAATTGGCCTTACAGGGATACGTACAAGATAAATAAAAAATGTAGCAATATGTAATTATTCCGGCACTTCACTTCCAAATCTCCATTTCATGTCAAAGAATAATTGTTCTCCTTTGATGACGACGCACCTTCTGGTCAGATATGGTTGTGAGTCCACATGGATGCATTCTGGTATTAGACATATTGGCAGCCAGATCCTAGATTGGTGGCAATACAACGGGACTAAATTTGATAAAATACAATTTGGACCTGGCCCTGACTCGGGTCACAGGTCGGGTCTCAGTTTATTAAGACCTGTGAGCTATGTCCAATAGTACTTTTAGTCTATGAGAAATAATTCCATGGAGGTAGTGTCAACCACTCTGAGTTCTGTAAATGTAATGGCTTTCTGCATGTGCAAAGCAGTGAGGACACTCACCAAACTGTATCCTGGTGCGGACTGCTCCTATGGGGACGTTATAGATCTTCTCCAGGTAGTTCTTTACGTCACACTTGGTCATTCTGTCCAGACATGAACAGAGAAGAGAAAGAACACACAAAAGGAGACCAGGAGTTAAACAAGGCATCCAGCATCAGTGTTTGCAGGCGGACTGATTTGAGTGAGTGTAAGGTTACAATGCTGGATCACTGTCCAGCAAATAACACCACATTCACTTAGTTGCCACCTACATAGGAATGATACAGCCTATTTCCACCCTGCATTCCCATAAGCTCTGCCATTATATTACCGACTGTAACTGACAGGACGCTCCCCTACTGTATAGACCCATATTCAGCTTTTATTCTCTGGACCATAAAGTGGAGAGAAGAGAAATGTGAGTGTCGGTGTTCATCCAATTAGCCGTCTGCATGTATTGATCGCGCCCGGTGAAACCCTACACAGGAAGTGGACCTGGCACCAACTGATCCGGCGGGCCAGCCCAGCCAGAGCTCGCCCACTGGGCAGCATTTGGAATGGATTGCTCTGAACAGAGGAAGAAAGGCTTTTAACTGCTAATCAATCGAGCCAATTGGATTAGCCTGGTGGAGAGCACTTCCCAAATGCGTCTGACAAAGTGCTTAATAGCGACGCTGTGGTCTGACATGAGTGCCTCGGATATGGCGTCTTCTATCACCTCATTCGTTTCTTTGATAGAACAGAATAATAAGTAATATTCTCTATTTTTGTTCAGGAGGGAGGGAACAGCACAATACCTTGAGCTGCTGTAACAATATTAGGTGAAGCAAACTTTTGTGTGAGAAAATCCCATCTGTGAACACAAAGACTCTTTGTACCTGAGAATGACGTAATATGCGTTTCCATGCCGTACAAACAACTTCCTTGTGCTCTATAATACGATAAATGTCGGCAAAGCTTCCACTGATGTAGACCTGGAACACTTCCATTTGACCTGCTGCGTTGTGTTTATCAAACAAGCTCGGCATATATTTACCATACTTAATTGACTATTTCCACATTTGATTTCACCATTACAGAAGCAGGGTGGTTTGATGTGGTGACTCTTGAGTGTGATCCGGTTTATCTACCAAACACCACCTTCAGGCAGCTGCCTTTGATAGACAAGACCACTAAGCATAATAATAAGCTCTGCCTCTCAGACCCAGTTCTGGTCTAGGACTACTGGCGGCGTTAGGGGGAGGGAGTTGCTGCATCACTGTGTGAAAAAAGCTGTAAACCAACTTGTTAACGTCCCGTTGGAACTATTTTGCTCCCTTTACCCAGTCGAGAAGAGAGAAATGTGTTTCTGATGCGGCATGCAGATGCGCCTTTCTGCTCCATTTGCACCCGCCTCCCCCCCATAACCCCCCATCTCACAGTGTGTGTGTGTGTGTGTGTGTGTGTGTGTGTGTGTGTGTGTGTGTGTGTGTGTGCTGGAGGGCAGTGAAGCAGAGCCGCCCGACCGGGGGTACTTGAGCTCAAGGGAGGAAGAGAGAGAGAGAAAGAGAGAGAGAGAAAGAGAGAGAGAGAGAGAGAGAGAGAAAGAGAGAGAGAGAGAGAGAGAGTGATAGCGCTGAGAGACAGGTTTCCCTAGAATGCAGGGGCGAGGAACTGGAGGAAAGGAAAGTGGCTCGGGGACTGCGACGTCTCGTCTGGATCATTAGCAGAGGAAACACTGATCCTGATTAATGAGGAGAATCTAAATCCTGCTGCTTTCAACACTCAAATGATCCAATCACCACAAACGCAGAGATATATGAAATATGCACTAGCATGGTAGAGTTACTCTGCACAAGATGCCTGTGCATGTACATATAGGCTTAATGAACCGGCGTTAGCTGCAAATACACGACACAAAGATAAATGATCATTTATCTTTATCAGTAGTAAGTGAAATAGAAAATGCAACATACATACAAACACACATACCTACCGGCTACTAATTTACATAGAACACTATATTTAGAGATTAACTATGAATACATCCACACACACACGCACATACACAGAACACTAGATTGAGAGGGGTTACATTCGATTTTTCTCTGACCTGAGTCAATACATGACTCCATTTCAGCTGAAACTGTAATCCAGTCCCATACAAAGCCTTGGGGTGAAAGTTGAGGAGAAGATGTCAAGTTAAGAGGGTACATAAGCAAGGCTAAACTTAGAGAAAGGGCGTGGTGTCTCCAGAAGTGATGCAGGCAGCATCTGATCATCATCCCAGTATAAACACCCATCTTTCTCCACAAGCTAACCTTTCACACCTCTGCCTTACAGGAAGTATGAAAACCTGCCTCTAGCAACTGCCAGGGCTAAAAAGGCATCGTTCCTCAGCAACCGGTGTGTATGTTTACACGCAAACGCACGCGCTACAAAGATCCCTCGCCCCAAAGATGATGAAAGAACTCCGAAAGCAAAACATAGAAGGGCATCTGATGACGGATTAGGTTCAATTACGGTACGTTGTTACCGAGCAGGTCTAAAACAAGAACATCCTTGTTAGGAAACAACTCAAAAAGTGATATTGTTCTGCATTGTTCAGGGGGAGGTGTGAAGGGGAGACGTAAGACCTAAATCTGATATCAACTAGTGCTCAAAGCAGGAGGTCTCTGAAGGGATGCGGGCACAGATGAAGAAACAGGGTAAACCTGATGCCTTCGTTTCGCCCCGCTGTGACATAGCGGTTTGTGTGCGACAATATAGCAGATTTGTGAATCTGCAGATTAAGCCGCACACCTCGATCAGCTGCTCTCAAATGTGATCCTCCCTCTGCAGTGACTCTACGTGCTCCTGAATATTTCCCATTCTGAAATGTGAGTGCTAACTCACACTGAGCCAAGGAGATTGTGAGTATCAGTTCCAGTAGTTGAAAGTCCATTTACACCTGTGCACATGAGAGAAGTAGGTGAAAGGGCACCGTTGAAAACGTGCATGACAGGACAGAGGCGGCTTTGACCATGTTTGACAATAAGGATAGTGAATGTATTCTGACAGCTCAGAGACTACTGCATGCCACTTGTCTTTTAATGCGCTGGTGCTAAAAGAGCATCTGCCCAGTGAATGGGTGGCGTCTCTCTTACATAAAGGATGCCCTATATGTCCACCCACTCACAAATAATACACAATATGGACTGAAAACACTAAAGTTAAGCAGATCTGGATTGTTTTAGGCTGAATAATATTTGCTCTTTGGTATTTGAAGGTCCTCAACACAATTTTAAAAAACAACCTCTTATTTACTTGAATATAGATTCAAATACATATAGATAGATAAAAAGATATAGAATATATATATATATATATATATATATATATATAGAGTATATCACTCTAATGTGCATGTACTGTTTGACTCAATGGACTGCAAATGCCAAAATATTTCTAAATGTTTCAATAACTAAAAGTATTGGATTTGAGTTTAGAACAGACTCAACATTGTATTTCAGCAATGTTACTACTCACAAGTTCATGAGAGTAAACTTTAAAAAGGTGCAAAACTGGAAAGTAAATGATTGTGACCTAAACAAGTTGATAAAATCCACAAAAACGAGAAACGGTCGGTCAATTGTGACATTTTCTTATTTGCAAAATACTCAACTATGGCGATTTTTCACATTATCCACAAAAACGAGAAAGAAAAGGTTCAATGGCTTATATTTGGTAACGTTATCAAATGTGTACGTATGGTACAAACATGTTAGCACGGTTGCTATACTCAATATATGACCCAGAATAACCTGACATGTAGTATGGGAGGACATACCGACGTAGACCCTTTTCTCAGGTTAACAACAAACAGTTGGTTTAGCGGTGGGAAAGTGGGTAACTGAAAAAAAAAAATTATGTGAAAAACTTTGGTAATCTGGCAGTTTCATCTCGGTCATCATGGTGAGTCACGCTTCAACAATGGAGTGTGTACTCTGCTGTGTAAACTGAATGCCGTGCCACAGTCCTTGTAAATTAGCAAACACTATAACAGCATTTGATCCAAAGAATGCTGTTGACATGTCCTCCTTGTTCCAAGTTACTTTGTATTGGGATGATTCAGTGACCATTGGTGCTTCTTGTGGCGACCATGAATCCTCCTCGGAAAGGTTGCTTGTTTTTGCTACTTGACTTGGCAAACCACTGAAACGCTTTTAATGTGGTTCCTTGTTTGATAGAAAGTGGGCTGCATCTACATTTGGGCTTTTTATGGGGCCTTTTTCGGTCGGCAGATCGACTTGAAGTATTGCAAGCCAATGGAAAAGAAGAGGATGCAGCCACACATAGAGGTGATGCAGAGCTGCAGGCGCTTACTGCAGTTTAGAGGAGCCTCAACCCTTCAACACGTCATCAACTATGTGGCCTCTTTTTTCTCCATGCAATTTACCTCATGTTACCCCGAAAAATCCTTTAAGTGACTGCCAAACCACCATCAAGCTTGACATAGATGTTATTTTTGTAATTTGCTGGTAGCATTTTCAGCTTGAATTGCCATTGTATCAGCTAATACAGCAGAATGATGTAATGGTTTAAGAGAAAAATATGATGACATACATGCCAAACAGGAAAAATGCATCAGCAAATAGGAACAGCGAACAATGGTAACGACTTTAAAAGAGCAGGAGCATTCCTCAGTAATAAACTCAGTAACAGATGAATTGTCCCTCCGATATGTTAACGCTGTGTGTTCTAATAAGCCTCTTCGACTAATGTGGAAACTTTATTAACACACCACACAACAAACATCTAAGGTACACCAACCAGTCTACACACACACACACAACATCAAAGTACATTGTGTCAGAGCGGCTTAGTGGTGAGAATGAAACAGGAGAGTTGTTTTCTGCGCAGATGAAAGGCAAAAGAAAGCCGCTCCTTATTGTCAGCCTGCCCCATTGTCGGGTTTGGGTCGAGATACGCACACTCACTACTTTAACCCTCCCATCTGCAGAGACAATGCATGCACAGAAGTTGCTCAACACTAAGTATCAAGATCATAATAGCATACTTTGTTTAGAGGGAAAGCCATTAAGGAACCTGAGACTTAGGGAGAGAGGAGACAGTTGAGAAGTTGAGAGTATGAGAGCAGCGTGTGATGGATTAGATTTATTGTTCGGGTTTTGGTCCGACAATGGAAGAGAAATAGATCAAAGAGCGGGTCACCAGACGTCACTTCACTACTTATAGAGAGACAGGTCATTAAAGCGTCGACAGTTAGTTGCACTCCTCTACTGGCTCGCTGAATGACTTCCTGTGACATAAACCAAGTTTAATTAGCGGGAAAAATAACCCAGTTTCCAACTTGAGCCCGGGGTTGACGAATTGGAACGGGGGAGCAGTAACATAGTGATGGCCATGGCGATCATAACACTGTTGGATCCAACAGATGGAGAGACGACGAGACACTGTTGTGTAGCGGGGTCATTTAGTTCACGTTCGACTACGATGAGAAACCGCAGCACGGTCTGGGTTTCATAGTTATTAGACAGCATAGTAGCATGAAATGTGACCGAGCAGTCGGCCGAACACAACGTTCAGCGTGTTCTTTTCTTTGTGTGTGTGTCGGCACAAGAGGTGTGTGTGTGTGTGTGTGTGTGTGTGTGTGTGTGTGTGTGGGGGTGTAAACCCAGAAACTTGATGATGTTCCTTCAAGAGCGGAGAGGGAATACTAACATAGCACAAAAGGGTCGAGAACAATCAAAAAGACAAACAAGTATGTCCCTCCAGCAGGTAGAAAGAGAAGTATGAGAGAACACAGTCCAGGTGTCTCAAAAGGTGTGCCAAAGAGGGATTGGTTTTGGATGCGTTGCAAAGTGTTTTAAGAAAAAGCACAATAAACAGCAGAGCCCCGGGTGGGACAGAGAGAGACATGCGCAGATGAGCGATACTGCAAACAAGCATGAAAACTAAAGCAAGAAAGAGAGAGAGAGACCGACAACCATTTATATCTAGCTCCCAGGTGTCAACGAGATAAAGGCCACTACGTGTTATTATAATCATTATTAACAGCTGCTCGGTAATACAACTTTTCCACGCCGACGCCGCCTACCCTCGAGAGTCATAACTATAACAGCTCATCAATACGCCGGGAGTGGGAGTGATATTTGCTTTGTGTCACCGTCTCTCCATCGGTGTCCATTTACTTCATTGTGTGTACGAAAAAGCATTAAAAAAATAACAGTGTTTCAAGTGCACACCGAGGACCCAGCAGCATATCAATCAGCCATGCACCTCTCCCAGGCATCAAAGACTGCGAGGAAAAAACCCTTACACACCCTTATAAACACACACGCACCCTGCACTTACCCCACTTTCGTGCATATATACACACACACCATTTTCACAAACTGACTAACCCACACTGACAAGCGCGTGCGCACACACACTCACAATTACATAAGCACCCTAGGAGTTTGGCAGAGAGGAGGCAAGAATCAGAGTGGGAGGCCAGGCACCTGGATGAACAGATTATGGTCTAAACCCCACCAGAGACACACAGATGATCTGCCTCAAACTTCAATTTCTCCTCCCAGTGTGGGCTCTGGCGGCTCTCATCACCTGAAGAGCAGTGCTAATCTTGGTGACCTAGTCGAAATCAGCTCATCGCTGCCAAGTGACGACTGGTAACGGCCTCCTGTTGAGTTTCAAGACAGAATGTGTTCATTTCTTTAACGAAAACTATGACTAAATGTGTTCGTCAACTAAAATGACAAAGCTTTTACTCATAATGCGTTATCCCGCTGGGAGTAGCCAAAGATGTGTAGGCGTTGGTCATAAAAGGGATGGGCTTGAATACTCTGGTCAGCTACGGTGTTTAAATGATGCTCAATTTGTAGTAAGAACTTATCCCCCACACCATGACACCACCAGCAGCCTGAACCGTTTGTTACAATGCAGGATGGGTTCATGCTTTCATGTTTATGCCGTATTCTGACCCTACCATCTGAATATCGCAGCAGAAATCCAGACCAGGCAACGTTTTTCCAATCTTCTATTGCCCAATTTTGGAAAGCCAGTGCCAATTGTAGCCTCATTTTCCTGATGTTAACGAGTGGTTATTTGAGTTACTTGCCTTTCTATCTGCTCCAACCAGTCTGGCTATTCTCCTCTGACATTTGCCATAAACAAGGCGTTTTTGCCCAGACAACTACCATTTACTGCATATTTTCTTTTTTTCGGACTATTCTTTGTAAACCTTGGAGGTGGTTGTGCGTGAAGATCCCAGTTGATCGGCAGCTTTTCAAATACTCAAACCAGCACGTCTGGCACAGACAAACCATGCCAAGTTCAAAGTCACTTAAAACGTCTTTCTTCTCCGTTCTGATGCTCGACTTGAACTCCAGCAGATCGTCTTGACCGTGTCTACACGCCTAAATGCATTGAGTTGTTGCCACCCGATTAGCTGATTAGATATTTGCAGTAACAACCAGTAGAACAGGTGTACCTAATAAAGTGGTCATACACACACACACACACTATATGTATAGCAAAGGAGGCAGTAAACCCTATTTGACACAAGTTTTGGAAAAGGAACAAGAACATTTTGCTTTAATTTTCTGGGTCGATATTAATATTGGCTGCTCTAGATGACGTCTTTCTGTTTACAACATGGCTCAAACCTCCACTGCAGCACCAAATAAAAGCTCTTTTGACCTCACCTCACCATTGCAACCGAGCTCATTGAAGACATAAGGCGGTAAGAGCTGACTTTACTGTTAAGGGACTGAGCCACCGGTTCCTGTTCTTGAGGCGGTCACGCCACCTGGTGGCCATAATGCCCAAATCCAGCTACACAGTCACTGGTCCAGCAGGACTGCTACAGTGCCATAAAAAACAAATCAATGCAGCCTAAAACATGAACCATATCCACACAACACTCAAACAAAAGTAATAGTCTGAAATAACTCGAATGCCAAATAAAATAACAGATTTTGCAGTCTGGTAATATTACAATGTAGAGCCCACACAGGGCTTGTTATATTGTTAATCTTAAGAAGCAACATAGATTGGAAGAGTTAGTAGAATTGCTTCATTCTCAGGTTCAGGTTGCTGTGATGATCATCATCTAACCGAACATGCGGGGCTGAAACCATACCAGCTGCTAAAAAGGCCAAATATGATAAAGTAAGCCTTTAAATATATATGTTGAAGTATGTATTGTATGGCTCTATGGAAAGTGGAGAAAGATACCATAAATGATTGTCCATGATATAAAATTGCATTAGATCAGATGCTTGCTATCAGATTTGATATTTGCAATAAGTAGTAATGAATAACAATAGACATTATCAATAAATAGAAATGTGAGCTAAATTTGGACTGAAAACTGTATTCTGAAAATGAAAGCGGAGGTTATTAGAAGATGATAGAGGCAAAGAAAGAACTCAGTAAATAAAGTATGATTAGGCAATAACAGGACAACCAAATGATGTGATTATTTAGCGTTTCTTATATACATGTACATCAACACATACACCTTTACTTATCTCCATTTCATCACAGCAGAAGTAATGTAGTATTATTATATAACAGACAAGCAATACACTGATTGTGCATCTGCTCGAGGGACAGAGTGGCATCAGAACACCAAAATGCAAGTTGAAGCAAACTATTTTAAGTCACAGTAAACTTACACAAGCATATAATCATTTTACCTCACTTGTGTCACAAATGCATGTTAATAGTAGGAAGCAGTAAGGATTGCAGACTGACTAATATGATCTGCAAACCATCCGTTTTTCATTTAGGCTTAAAAAATGTAAAATCTATTAACCTTTGTGTAAGAAGTTTGACACACACATTAGCCACATTTATGATGGACAATCAGGGCTTTTCAGTGGCATTATATGTACAGTAGTACCATCCACGCTCCTGAGGAAGGTGTAACATACATATAGCTTACAACACAAAGTTTTTTATGTTCATTTTTTGTTAATCATTTTAGTGATGGGGGAAATGCGGTGGCCATTTTTTTTACTTTGTTATTAAACAGAATCATTGCATTTCTCCAATGCTGTAACAAGACTTACTCCATTGGGATGCGAAACTGGACGGTGTCAGGAGGCTGCTCCTTCCCGGGCCTCACCAGGGTCAGGAACCAGCTGGGTCTGAAGATCCTCAGCTGAGGGTTTCCCAGCTGGTAGAGAGGGTATCTGAGGAGAGGCACACTTGCATCATCTCCAGTATCATTCCCAGACATCCTGTATCTGATACGACCCCACTAACAACTGGGAGGATATTAGAGAACAATAGACCATCTAGATTTGTGTGGTGACATTTATCTGTAGCCTTTTGTTGTCAAAAAATGATAAAAAGCAGGAATAAAATAAAACAGATCCGCTTCAAACGAGAGCTCTGTAATGAAAGCCCACAGGATGTGATCACTGTTTGCGGTTTGCCATCCAAATCACACAAACCACACCCTGCGACTTGATGTGAGGTATGGCATGACGTATGGAAACACGTGGCTGATAAACGCTCCACTATGTTCAGCAGCTGGTCAAAAACGTTTTATTTTCTTTTAGAAAAGATCATTAAGCGAACTGGATGTCATGGTCACGTGTTTACAGTAGTATGTTTTTAGCATAGCTGGCTAATGCTGGATAGGTTCTTGTTGCGTAACGTCATTTTAACAGAGACAGTGTTAGGTTAGGTAAGTGATTTAAGCACTCCAACGTGGCGTGCAACAAATGGAAAAAAACCGTGTGCAAAAAAGCTGCTTTCAGACATACGGGGGGGGGGGCAGCTGGAAGCCCAAGACATGCTAAGGTTAGCTGGGTTTGCTAGTTTACCGAAGCGGACTAGCAACGATTTAATCTCCATCTGGGACGTCCTTTTGCGCATTCACGCCAAGAGATTAGGAGAAACAACTGGACACTTACAGTAGTCTTGTTACTGGCATTACTGGAGAGGTTTGTTCCGACACAGCTGCCAGGTAGTTGTTTTGTAGTCTTTCTAAGGTTGTCAAAATCTACGCGTGCATAGAAGTACTTCCGGGGGTACTCGCACCGCGCAGGCGCAGTGGATGTGCACCATGCCCTTGAAGTAAACTTCCCAAGTCTGCAGCATGGATGTATTAATGACCTGCAGCTTTGGAATACGAATTCAAACTACACTGTGGGTATTTATAGCACGAACAATAAACAGTTACAATAATGATAACCCAGTGAAAAGTTGTTTTGTTATTAAAGACTAACCTGTTGAGTTAATCTAATACCAATTAAATCAATTTCCTGAATGTTTCCTAAATCTATTAATTCCTCCACATTTTGTCACACTTTAAATATTAATTCTGCAATTTCAATATAATCTTGCCATTTGAGATAAACACACGTGCAAAAAGTGTTTTATACAAATGCAAATACAGATTATATCAAGGCATGTTTCATTGTATCACATGCAAGCGCATGTCCTGTGTACAGTTTGATAGATGGAGAGGTATCCATAAATGGTCATTTAGATAGTGGTAATGAAACTAAATTAGTGCCTTAGTATGCAAAATATTCAATTGACACAAATCAGAAATCTGCTATAATTGTCCTGTAAATACATGTTTCCCATTTGGACCAACTCCTTTCATCTCCTCCTTGGATAACAGCAGAGTTCATACTCTTTTTAAGAATGGGTTTCCATTTTGGGAATGTCACTGCCTGTGTGCACTTTCTCAGGGCACATATGATGAGACAGCAGCAGAGGGAGACCTCGTCCCATCTCTCGTTTCAGTCCCTTTGCCCCGCCGTCTGACCTCACAACCACTACGGCGTGCCTGCAGCGGGGCCGGGGGTAAGAGTGATTGAAGGCCCCCTGAGTGGAACATGAGTCCCTGGCTCAGCCGGTTCAGACCTGGCAGGAAATGGACCACACTGACAGCCCACACTATGCCAGGAAGGGAAGTTTCCATCCGTTAAGATGCCATTGAGTGTGTGTATGTGTGCGTGGACGGTGCTGGAGGGCAGTCATTTGATCATTATGCAGTTGTTGTAATGTTTACCAGTAGGAACAGGTATGTATCGCACCGTATCAGAGTGTCATGTCATCCCTACAGTTATCCAGTTTAGGTTTTTTTTGTTTTTTGCCTCAAGAAAAATAAATGTTCACTGATATCAGTTCCTTGATTGTTTACTTGTTTGTTGCTGTGGAGCTGGTTGATCTGACAGCTGATATGAGAGCATACGCTACTGGAGATTCATAAAGGTGGTGAGGCGTAGGTGGGGAGGTTTCTTTCAAAACGAATGTAATGTGTACTGGCCACTGCATATTATGCATTAAAACATTAGATTGTTCAATAAAATAAAGTATTAAGTTATGTTGAATTTGATTAACTCTGAAATCGATGATTCGATATACATATAGAGTGTTTGTTAGAGTGCCACCTGTAACGGTCAAGCTGTTCCAGTAACATATCATTTATCCATGACATTCGAGTAGTAATTTATGACTTGTTGTGGATCAGCCAGAAATACAGTTTCCCTTTCTTTCATGATTATTGTCTGTGCATACCATACCTAAGTGTAAAACAGTAACATAAAAAAGAGCCTCCTCAGTCAGCCTACACAAATACAATACCAGGTTTCAACCTCCGGGTCTGAAAAGTGAGACTGAAGGCTAAAATGCCTTAACTTGCATTATTTCTAATGGCCAGCAGGGGGCGACTCTCTCTGGTTGCAAAAAGAAGTCAGATTGTATGACCCTACTTTTCACTTGATTCATTACCTCAGTAAACATTGTAAACATGAGTTTATGGTCTCAGTCGCTTGCTTCAAATCTTATTCAATACCGCATGATGTTTATTTTGTAAATCATTTTCCCATTTAGAGTGAATTAGACCATAAAACAGGGTGTGCTTTAGGGCGGGCTACCTTGTGATTGACAGGTCGCTACCACGCATTGTCAGGGCTGGGTGTTGTCTGTGTTTTCGTCTTAAAACTTTGACCCTTTCAGAGTGTTTTTTTTCAGTTCATGAAAGTTAATTGTAACATTTTGGTCGCCTAAATATGCCTTATTCAGTGTTTGGTTGTACTTAGCTCCGCCCTCTAGTGTCACATCTGGTTACAAAAAGTCAAGATTGGCGACAGGCAAAAACCAAGATGGCGACAGCCGCAATGCAGAACTCAAGGCTTTAAAACGGCAGTCTACAAACCAATGGGTGACATCACAGTGGATACAGTCTATGTACAGTACTGATTAATTAACTTGACTGTGAAGAAATACACATACAGAATGAATACAAAGCTGTATTATCAACTGAGGAAATAAGGCAACTACCCCAGAATCTTAGGGGAAATAAAAATGCCCCCGGTTCATTGTGTGGCAAGAAATATATGGTAATTGTCTTAATTGATCAATATAGATAGAGCTTTAATTCCAACTGTATGTTTTAGGAATCCTGTGCTATTATTACACAGTTGACAGTAGAGAGATGAAACGAACAACAAGCCTGACTAGATTTGAAGTGGGGATGTTGGGGTGGTCGGCACTTCAAACCCCCAGGCTACTAGGGCACCCTGCTGCACATTTACTAATGACTAGTGACCTTAGTGTGAATCTAATAGCTTTAATTTTCCAGTTGATATCATGTGTTGACACTCTTGAATAAACAAGTAAACTAAGTTGGGGAACACTGGGGTTCAATAGGGTCCCACAGCTTATTTATTGCCTCGAGGCCTACTAGGTGGTTAATCCCCCTGTCACTATGTAAATGTCTCTTTGTGTTGGAAAGACATGATTTGTGAAAAGGGGCCATTTGAAAGCATCTATACATTGATAAATGCATTATCAAACAGCCAAACATGATTTAACTCCTTTGTTTGGGAGAACGATCATTTAGAATAAGAAACAGGAGTTATTATTTAAGTACACAATTAAGGGTATGGTTGAGTTCCATGTTCTTACGATCCTTCTTATGCTACCTTGGCCATAAGCCTGGCAACTGCTGTGGGTGCAGTAGCAGTAGCTGCACTCATTACCTCCATCAGGGTGCCAATGTTTAGCAAGGCTCCAGCCAGTGCAGTCCAGGCCAGGTCTAAGGGGAGTGGAGGGGGCAAGCAACATGAACCAGTGCAACCTTCAGCCAGAAGTCCGGTCTCACACTGTTATCCAACTCTGCCATTTATAGATGTGATTCAAGTCTGTTTGTTAATGCACAGAGTTGGTAAGAGAGGTTTTATTGCTTTTCAAATGACCGGGGGCAAAAGCCTGTTAGAGCTCTGCTGCTCTCGTTATTTTGCTCTCTGTGAATTTTTTTTATTTTTGCATATGATTCTGTTTTGCAGAAGTCATATTCTGGTCAATGGCTTGGCCTTTATAGTTACGGTATTTATTGTGTGACGCACAGTCATACACACATCTATACTCGGTTGGACATGTAAGGTTAATGTTGAGTTCCATCAGCAATCAATTATTCCTTTTATTTCAGACACTCATCAATGCCCTCAGTATCCTTCCAACTGAGACTTAACTCACACCACGTGTGTGTGTGTGTGTGTGTGTGTGTGTGTGTGTGTGTGTGTGAGAGAGAGAGAGAGAGAGAGAGAGAGAGAGAGAGAGAGAGAGAGAG